AGGCTGCGCTGGCGTTCTGTAGACTAGTTGTTACTCTTTTAAGACACTACTAACAGTAGTATTTATTGCTGTTGTTGCATTTTAGTCTGTATGCAGCTGAAAAAAACACACACATGCTCGAGTATTAATCGCATGCGCTTTTGACTAAAATACAGCGGCAGCAGCTGTAAATTACAGCAATAACTACAACATGAACATCAAATTAATTAATGTTAGAAAAGTGAATAAAATACTATTTTTTGCCACTTTTTCCAGGCAAAGTTAGCACTGTAGTTGCCTTCTTTTCGGTTAGTTTAATAATTTTTATTTTAATGTCTGTCTGTCTGCCTGTCTGCCTATTGCTTTGTGTTCCCCATTTTGGAGTTACTAGCGTGTATTTTGCTCTGCGCTTAACTGCTTCTGTATGTACTGCTGTCATTGTTGTTGTTGGCTCATTTACTTTTAGTTACTAAGCCCGCCACATGAGTAATGGCAAGACTATGTAAGCAATTTACTATGTCATTTAACGGTGTTTGATTTTTTTAAATATTTCATTTGGACTTTTAATTTTTTGGAAGATTTCCTAGAATCCTTTTATTCATAAAAAAGCCGAAAAACTTTTGAAATTAATTAACTGATAGCTTCAATTTTTATATCTAGTAAAGAATTCTTTTGGGATAGGAATTACTGCAGCAGGAAATGCTTTTTTAGCGCTGTCAGAGGTCGCGTGTAATTCGAAAAATGTTTAATCTTTTTCTTCAACATTTTTACTGTGCATTGTAAAAATATGTATAAATATTAAAACAGCTGATACAGCTGTTACTTTAGATATGCCCCCTAAATATAAACAAATTATTTATTAATATTCGGATATCCGAATAACAAATTTTATTGTTTTTGTGCCGCGAAAAAGTAAAAATTACGTTATATTTTTGCTCATAACACATTCAGTTAGGAGTTTGTTTTTAAACAAAAATGTTTCTTACCAAAATAGTTCAAAATTAGATTTTAATCTTGTTTGAATCAAGTTTAGTCTTTTGAAAGATGATTGAGACCTTACAAATATAGATCTTCTCTCAGCAGGCGAAAACGTTTATCCGAGAATATTATATTTTTTGGAAAAAAATCCTCTCATAAAATCCATAAACCTTTTGGATCTAACTTAAAGCTTGTACGATCCCCCACTTTCTATTGAAATCAAAGCGTACAGCTTAATAAGCATAAGAATATGTATCAAGCGCCTAGATATTTGTAGCACAACTAACTATATACACATATGTATGTATCCGAAATTTTGCAATTTGTAATTAGCTTTTAACCCCCAAATATACGTTTTAATTAGCCATTAAACACTTTTTCCAAGCCATTCTCTTTCAAAGCCACTAACCAGTAAAAAAATATGCTGTGCATGACACACCCATTGACCGAAATCACGTAGTCAAATGTATTTCGCAATTTTTGGCAAAAGCGGTAAAAAGTTGGATGCCATGAAGTGACGTAATATTGGTCGCTGCTAGAATACAGTTAGTCGAGAATTAACGATGATGCGATGACGCAGCGCTTCATTCAATCTCCAGTCAGTCAGTCCGCAGTGCATTGACCCAATGGACTTACACACATACATACATATATACATACACATGTTTGTACAAGTATATTCGCTAGCCGCGCATTTACTTATTAAGGAGGCGTTAGTAGCCAACTACACGTGCCGTTATAGCAGAATCTGCAGATATATGAGTAACTTAAAAGGTGCTACTAATTTGAAAGGAAACTTTTGGAATGTATATGCATACAAGTATGTGTATGCATATGTGTGTAGGTATATAAAAGCGCGTGTTTTTAAAACAGTTAAGTGATAAAATGTCTAAAGCTATAAATTGTTGTTTCTAAATATTTGCAAATTTGGTATCAATATCTATTTGGAATTTAATATGGTTTCTCCTGCCAATACACCAATATGTATGTATATACTATGTATATGTAAAGAATTAAATTTAATGATAATTTTTTTTCTGTCATCAGTAAGTTCAATTATGGGAAGTACCATACACACATATGGGTCATTCCATCGAAAATTTACATTTAACATTTTTTTATACCCTAAACAGGGTTTATTGAGTTTGCCACACCAAAAAGGAAACGTCGGAGACCCTATAAAATATATACATAAATGATCAGCATGATGAGCTGAGTTGATTTAGCCATGTCCGTCTGTTTGACCGTCCGTCCGTCTATCCGTCTGTATATATGCAAATTTTGCACCGGTCCTTTTCTTACTAAGGAGCTGCTCATTTGTTGAAACGGTACCGGACCACTATAGCATATAGCTGCCATACAAATTGAACAATCGGAAGCAAGTGCTTGTATGAAAAGCTCTTTCAGTTGACGAGGTATCTTCACGAAATTTGTCATAGATTATTATTTAAAGCAATAGTGTAATCTCCGAAGAAATTGTACAGATCGGATGACTATAACATATAGCTGTCATATTAACTGAACGATCGGAGTAAAGTGCCTGCATGGAAAACTTTTTTTATTTGACGAGGCATCTTCACGAAATTAGATCGGAATCAAGTTTTTGTATGGAATCTTTTGTATCTGTGAAGGGTATTATAGCTTCAGTGTAACCGAAGTTAACGTTTTTTCGTGTTTTTTGTATTCTTCGACTCAATATGAAATATTTGAAGTTATGAATTTTCAAGATTTCAACTTTGGGAAAAAGTACCTATAAACATTTGCATATACGAAGAAAAGTAACATATTTCTATAGAAAAATAACTAACCGGCCTATTCTTTACGATTTCTTCTCTGCTTTCCAATGAGATAAATGTTGAATTTTTTCGAATGGAACAAATAATTTTTAACTTCCCGCTAAGAAAATGGAAAATTTTCTAAAAATCGGGAAGATATTGGTTTCACCCCATTTTGCAAAAATCGAGTTCTCAACAGATCTCGACGTTCTGAGGGTCGAGGAAGCTTCCCCGAACATTTCTACGATGATGTCCGTATGTCTGTATGTATGTGTGGATGTATGTGTGTGTGTGTGGATGTATGTGACCCTCTTATAACTATTAAACTGCTCAACCGATTTGAATAAACGTCATTCCAAAGGATTTTATTGCACTTGAATTTCGTGTAAGTTTGGACCCAATCGGACCAGTAGATTTCGAGAAATCTCAAAAATAAAAATTTTGAAAAATCGTTTTCGAATTTTTTCCAAACGACTTGACCGATCGACACCAAAAACTAATCAGTTCTAAACCTTGAAGAAACACATCGTTTGCCGCAAACCGGGTCGAAATCGGTTGATTTACTTGCTAGATATCGAAAACGAAAAATTTCGAAGAGCTCAAAAGCTGTGAAAAAAGCGAAATTTGAACGTTAGCGTATGAAATTAGAGGGAAGTTGCAGGGATGGCCCTTGAGGCCAACCGTTTTCCACATTTTTTTTTTTTCTATTTTTATTCCGTTTTTTTTTTTTAATGAAGAATGTACATTTCTTTAATGACTAATTTATAAATTTCAGAGAGGAATTCAGGTTTTGAAACTATATTTCTCGTGTTTGCGGCTAGCACAGTGGGCTTCTTTCCACGCGTGCAGGATGAGAAGTAGCGGCATGCGGCATCAAACATGCTTCGCAGCGATAGTATACGAACAATCGCGGACTCGAAACGTGGAAAATTAAATATTTAATGCGGAGGGAGTTTTTAACGGTTGTTTTGTAATTTCAACGTATAATCCCTGCTTCAACCATCAGCTCCGAATTCAACCGACACCTGATAATTCATATTATTTCTACCCATTCTTGCTTCAAAAGAAAAAACCTATTGGTTTTTCTTATACATGTAAAAAACATAAAAAATTTGGTCAGGAACAACAAAAAAATAAAAACTTTGAGATATACCTTTCAAACTTTCTCCTGCGACGATAATATTCATTGCATTATATACCATATTTGAATAAAGAAGACAATAATTGCACCTAACTCAGTTGGCATCGAGTAACTTACTTTAAGTCCCTTAAATAACAAAAAAATAACAAAAAACGTTTTCTCTTCTCTGCTAAATTCTGCACTATTGATTATTGCGCCTTTTTACAGTCTAACCACAAAATAATCAAACTAGGTAAGTGAAATTAACACTTCGGCAAATTCAGCATCTCTTCTGCAAAAAACTTAACAAATTTCAAAATGATGATCCACACTTCAATTTTCGAAAATTTCTTAATTAAAAATCCAAATACCTTATTTGGGTCAGCGGTGTTTTTGCATTCCATGCAAAATACTTCTACTATTGTTGTTGTTAATCAATGACTCATTTTGTTTACATTGAAATGTTGTTGTTTACACCTGGGACACGAACAAAGCAATCGATGCAATGAAAGTGAAAATCATATAAAGCAACAAAACATAAATGAAACCGAAAACGAAAACGAAATGATGGAAATGACAGAGTCTCGAATTTCGCAGAAAACCCCAATGTCATTTTGACAAATTAAAGATTACAGGAAGCAGCATACAATTAGTGAGCAGGTGCTCTTTTGTATGAGTGCTGAGAAAAGTGTAATGCATAGAAATGTTTTGGTATATTCAATAGCGGGGGAGGAAATAAAATATATGTATATAAACTAAATATGTTAAACATATATATATATATAGTATATAAAGTTAGCTCTAAATTTAAAAAATCTAAACTGATAAAAATACTAAAAAAATTGCAAAACATATGTTGAGGCATAATAGAAAATAAATAAATATTTAGTAGTGTTGCCAATAAAGTACTTAAAGAGGCTGTAGTTTTAATATATTGGCACAGAGTTGCCTCCTATTAGCAATAATGAGTGCAATAAAATTAGCGCACGAGCCTTATTAAGAGGTGTAAAAAATGAAAATTAAATTCTCCAAGAAAATGTAAGTGTTTGTTTTATATAATCTGAGCACAAGTATGTACTTTATAAAGCAAGTATTTTAAGAAATAAATAAAATACGGTATTTTTTCAATAACAATAATAATTTCTTACACTTGTTGCATTGAAGAAATCACAACATTTTCAAATATCCTTGTAATCCGTGTTAGATGTTGTTGTTGTAGCTTTAGTGGGTTTTTTTAACGCCGCGCTAATGCTTTGCTGCTGCTGTTCTTATTCAATTATTTGTTATATCCCAGCAAATGTATGTGTTTGTTTGTATGTGTCCTTGGCGTGCAGGCAACACTTTAAATATTGTTTTGTTTTTTTGGTTTGCAGGAAATTTTCATGATTTGCCAATTTTTCCGTGGAATATTTTTTAATTATGTTTTTTGCGCGAAAAACAGGAAAAGAAATACAAAAAGTGAGTGTAGTAGAGGAGATAAACATAGAAAGAGTCAGGGGAAGCCCAAATATGAAATGAAATAAATATTGAAACATAAATAAGGATAGCTGAATAATTGTGGTCATGCGAATGGGTTATGGTAAGAAGTCACAGACATTGAAGGAAATAGCAAAGAGAAAGAAGCAAATGACTAAAATATAAAATTTGTGATAAACTTAATTTAAAATAAAAAATTAAAAAAAAAACCAAAAAATTAATAAAATTCAAACAGAATATTAAATTTTGGGTCAAGTGAATATATTTTTTAACGAAACGTTTAATCGAATTAAAATTCAACTACGTAAATAATAAAATGAGTAAAATATTTTTCATGAATAAGAACACTGCCTATCACAATTATATCAGTAATCTCAATTTTTTCATTTTAAATGATGAATATCATGATAAATAAAATCAATATTAAAATAATGATAAAAACGTATTTATTATTTGAAAAAAATTCTCAAATTTTAAAATAATTTTAAATTTTTTATATTTTCACTATTTTTTCATTAAGTATTTGCATAAATATTCTACAACTATAAAATAATTTCACAATTTTTTTTATATTCTTTCATATTGCTTAAATAATTGCATTAATGTTTGACACATAATATTTTTTTGAACAAAAAAAATAAAAAAAAAATATATAAAAAACCAGAAAACAACAGCTTTAGAGAAAACTGAATACATATGAATTTTGGAAAAAATTTTGAAATTTTTTTAAATCATATAAGTTGTGAAAAAAATGTTCATATACCATGTGCAAAATATATATGTACATAATGGTATACATATTTTTTTGGAATAGATAGAACAGAAATAATCATTACATTTAAATTTAAAAAAATAATAATAACAGAAAAATTTAAAAAATTAAGAAGTATTAATTTTTAATTTTTAGTGAAAATTTTATCTGACTTATACTTATATGTTACGTATATATGTATATAAATATTCTATAAATCATTTATTCATTCTATTATAAATTTTTTTGAAATTTATTATAATGTGATGGCTTAAATATTTTTTGCAAATAAATAAAAATGATACATGATTAATAGAATAAAAAATTAGATCAAATGTAAATAAATATTTTTTGAATCAATTCTTGAAAATCCATTTAAATTTTTTTTTGTTTAAAATTTGTTTAAATGAATTTTTATGAATGTATACATTTACTGTTTTTTTTTGATGTTATACACACTATGTAAATCTAATAAATGAAAATTTATAGTTTGAAATTTTTTAATATCGATTAATTTTTTACGAATTAATCTAAGTATATAGAATAGAATGTAAAATTATATAAAACCATCAAAGAAAGAATTTTTTTTTTTTAAATAAATTTTTAGTTTTGAAAATATTTTTTTAAATTTTGTCTTTGTAAGAATTTTATTTACACTAACGCATGAAATAAAAAAAAATTAATAACTTGGAATGTTTCTATTTTTAAATGTGCAAAGTTGAAGTGCTTTTAGAATTAAATAAAGTTATTTTTTTTATAAATTTTTAATTTTGAAAATAGTTTATTTTAAATTTTTTTAGTAAAAATTTAACTTAAATAATTTTTGTTTGTTTTTTTCTATATGTAAATACTTAACTTTTAAAAAATTGTTTTAAAAATTGTATATACTCTCTTTGTGAAAAAATTAAAAAGATAGAAAGAATGGCTTTTGTGTTAAATAATAAATTCAAATGTTTGTGCAAAACTTCGCTTAATCTCAATTATATAAAACAGACATGTAAATTGGGTAAGCACAAAAAAATATATAATTTTAAAAATATACTATACTCACAAATAATATGTGTACGTTTTGTGTGTATGTAGAAAAAATACTTGTTAAAAATATAAATACAGCGACAGCATTCATAACAAAAAAAATTAAGGAGCACAGCACGCAAAACGACGAAATTTTCATAAACGCCAAAAAATTTAATTTTAAAGTGTTTAAATATTTTTACAACTTTCTTTGAAAATTATTTAATAATTATATTATATTATTATTTGTTCTTTAATACTTTAGGGTTTTGTTAGTGGGTGCAAAATTTCGGTACTAGTGTGTCAATATGTCAATATGTGTGTTAGTGTGAGTAGCGAAATAGGAAATGGAAGTAAAAATATTTACAATTCAAAATAAATGACAGCAATTAACGTTTTATAGCGGTATTGCTATTATTGTTGGACTGGTTGCTTGCAGGCAGTTGGTTGGAGAGCTGGGGTGTAGAGTTTTGGTACGGTTGGATACTTTTGTTTTGTGTTTATATATTTGAGGTATTATCGCCAACACCCGGGATTTGCCGAAAAAAATGTCGCTGAGATTTTTTGTTTGATTTCAATTTTATTTTTATTGTTTGTCTTGTGGATTTTTGATGCATGGAAATATTTACAACAGTTTCTATGACAGATCCTGTGCTGATTATAGAGCGAATTACGGGCTTAATTTAGTTTGATTGCAAATTTAAAAATAAAAAAATTTTGTTTGTATTTTATTTAAATTTTTGTTATACATATATGTATTCTATTTTTTGTATACAAATTTTTTATATAATTTTTTTTTAAATAATTTTTTTTTCTTCGCCAATTTCGTATTTTTTTGTTTTGTAATTTCACTCGTTTTGCGTTTGATTAGTTGGCTTTAGGTTTTTAAGTTTTTAAACTTTTTTCAAAATTGTATTTCCTGCTTTGCTCTGGTGTTGCTTTATTTGCACTTATTTCTTCACTCGTTGAGTATCCCGTTTGCGGCTGTATTTTGTGTTTTTATTGCTATCTTTAAACGTTTTTCTGGTTTTTTGTTTGATAGCACCTTTTTTTAAATATAAAAACTTTTTGAAATTGCAATTTATTTTTATTTCCATTTATAGTTTAATTGTTGCGCCATTTCGAATACATATAAACGGTTTAAAGGAATTTTTTTGGTATACTCATAGAATTTTTATAACGTTTACAGTGAGTAAATGCGCACTTTTTGTGCTGAAAATTATAGTATTCTTTTTTTTAAATATTTTTTATATTTTCTTTTGTCACAAGATATATCATAATATTGGCTTTCTGTTTTATTTCGCTTACAAATTAGACACTTTTATTTTTTGTTGCTTTTAAAATTTTGTATACGGCATATAAACAGGGTTGCATTTCCAAAATTATTCACTGATTTTCTTTTCTACTCTTATATATAATGCATTTTGTTTTTTAAAATAATATACACAAAGATTTTTCAATCTATTTAAGCATTCACTTTTTTCTAATTTTGTTTTCGTTTTTACAAAAAAAAATTTCAAGTCAAAGTTTGTTGGAATTTTTTGACATTTTCAAAATTAAACACATAGTTTTGCAAATTTTTCATTTTAATATCCAAAACTGCCTGGAATTTTTTTAACGTGTGTACATATGTAGCTTTAACTTAACCATATTCCATAAAAATCGTTTTTTAGCCACAAATTAAAAAAAAAAAAAAATCACTTTAATGACTGATTTACAATTCCTGTTTTTATTTTAAGTTTTTCACATATTTTTTAATTGTGAAGCAACAGCATTTCATGAAAAAAGTTCTCGTTTCGTATTTTATCTCAAATTTTTTCGAGTTTCATTAATTACAAAATTTTAATATATCTTCGTTTTTTCAAATACGTCACTTTTCAATATTTTATATTGTGCATTAACAATTTAATATTGCGCGAAAATTATCACTTTTTATTTTTCGCACTTTTTGTCTTCAATATTATTATTTATTTATATTTCATAAAGAATATTTTTTGTCAGCGTGTAATCCAATCAGTGTACATATGTATGTATGATCTCTACGCACAGTACGCCCGTAAGCAGAGCAGAGAAATTTCCACAAATCCGAATACGTCAACGGTAGAAAGCCGACTGTGCGCAGGCGCACCAAAAGAAATGCGCACAACGGTACCGCCACAAGAGCAACGAGCGGTAGCAGCGGCACTAGTCGATACCAAAAACAGCAACAACAATAGCGTACGAAGAGCAACAGCTGCACGAGCAGCAGAAGCTGACGTAGAAGTAGAAGCGACAAAGAATGGTATGACAATGACGATGATGAGGATGGGAGCGCACACTAGTACAAGCGCGGCGCGCTCTTGTTGTTGGTGTTGTTCACAACTATTTATATATCGTTGATTTGCACCAGCACTGCTGATCATACAAGAAGGCCATGGAGAAACAAGCCCAAACCGGCAACAAACACTCGGCTTAGGTTTTAGCCAACGAACATCATTTGCACGAATGCACAGCATGGCATAGCCGACACGGTGTTCAGAGTCTTTCGTCCGGCTTACCATTAGTTGGGCGCAAGAATCGCGTATGTGTTGTTGGTAGCGGCAGCAACGGAGCGTGGTTCTGCAAATATTGCGCCAACTCAGCTGAGCGCACTATGCAACATGTTCGAAAAGCGCTTAACGCGCCACATAACTGTAGTTGTTTCGGCATATGTTTTGCGAAGTCGCGCTCGTGTGCGTGTTTGTGGCCGCTGAACTGTTTGTTATTGTTACCTTCAACGCGTTCAAAGTCATGGCTAACGAGTTGGCCGGCTGCGAGCGAAAGAGAGTGCCAGAGAAAAATTTACGGGCGGTGAGCGCATGTATTCATTCATTTATTGGTTTTACGCTCAGCTCTAGTTTGTGCTCTCACGTACATCATTCGCGTTAGCAACATGTTGCGCGCAATAAATTCTACACTCAAATATTAATGGATATTTCTTATGCTGCTAACATAAAAATTTATTAGCTAACATATAATATGAATTTGAAATTTATGTTTCAAAATTCTTCACGTTATACTTAACAGCCTTCTTCGAGACGGTCTACGTGAGGTGCAACAGCTACAAACATATCAATTTCGTGAAGTATGCTCAATGCAGTTTGTGTCTTAAGTCTTTTGTGTTGCTCGTAGCCCCAGTGTTTAATTGTGGCACAACAACTGCAACAAATTATGAGGCTGTATTAAAATAAGAACTCTTTAAAGCATGATTTCAAATTTTCAACTGTAAGTACGAATAGCTGAATACATTGAATCTTATATGGAAATATATACGGAGAGCTGAGTCGATCTTTATAGATACATCTAATGGGTTTCCGAATAAGAATGATATTATTTCTAGGTGTCGTTTCAGCCTTTCAGGCTTTTGAGAAAGGATTTTGGCTTGCATCCATATAAAATTGGTCTCACTCAAGAACTGAAGCCATTGGATCACCAAGATATCTTCACGAAATTTTGAAGGAATCATTATCTAAGGCAATAATGGAATCTCCGGAAAAATTGTTCAGATAGAATCACTATAACATATTGCAGTCACACAAGCTGAACGATCGGAATCAAGTTCTTCTAAGGAATATTTTTTGTTTGTGAAGGGTATTATAGTTTCGGTGCAACCAAAGTTAACGTTTTTTCTTGTTTTTGCTTTCGGTTAAGCAAAGTGAAAATCGAACTTTTTTCACCCAACTATCTCAGCAAGATGCAACTTAGGGAAATACATATGTATATATATTTTTTCTTTGAAAATTTTTTTTCATAAAATCTTAACATGTTAATGAACAACAACAAAAAAAAAAATAAATTGTACAAAATATTATTACTTCTCTTATCGAGCGTTAAAAAGTGCCCGAAATTAATTTATAAAATACCGGAATTATATAACATATTATAAGTAAAATAAATATTGTTTTAATCAAATTTCACTTTATTTTAATAGCACTAATTAATTTGCTTATCAATATTTTAATACTTTTCATAATATTACTCAAACACATTCCTTATATTGCGCACATAATTAACCTAAATTCAGCAAAAGCTCTTTTGCATTGCTAAAAATAACCGAAAATAGTATTTAGGCAAACTGTAAGGCCTACTCAGTCGAGCCACACAATGGGTGCGCAATATTAAGCGCACATTTATAAATATATATGTACTTATATACATATCATATACACTTCAAGAATTGACAAGTCTGCATACAGCCAGTATTTACCTAGATTTGTATCAAAAAATTCAGGCACAAGACCCGCATTTCTTTAAGCGAATTTATGCGTGCGTATTTTTTTTTATAAAAATATTGCCAACGCAACACAAATACATAGAAATGTGCTGTAAATTTGAATATAAAGCGACGTTTCGCTCTTCTACTTTACGACATCACGGCACGATCACAAATCATATCAGTATACGCTCACCGCATTTACTCTCCTCCGTGCATACTCGCCGCCGCGATCAGCTAGTCAGCCAACCCACCAACCAGCACTCATTTGCAACTTGACCTAGAAACACTTTTTCCTGTTATTTCGCCTTGTAAACAAAATAAATTTACAGTTTATATTGAGGCAGCAAAACTTTTCATGATTTCATGTTGCTAAACATGTTGCTTGGAGGACGGAAAATCTGCTTGATATAGTATATATATTTGCACTTGAATCAATAAATTATGAGTGCTCACAGCAACATAACATGATAAATTTTAATACCAACTATTACTGACGAAAACTGTAGCAGCAAGAGTTTTCTGCTTAATCAGTTGAAAATAAATGAAAAATATCACTAATCTGCAGTGGAGTGCAGATTTGCAAAACACCCTGATGCTGCCAATGAAGGGAAGATAAAATGGATATTCGGCCAATCAAACTTAACGTGCTGCAGACGCTCAATAATTTCAGGAAGTGGCTTTCGTCCTACTTAAGCAGTGAATTTTTTACTAAAGGAGAAAACTTCAATGCTAGGTATTGTTGATCTCAATTAAGATCTCTATTAAATAGGCGATGTTTTCAATCAGAAAATTGTTGTATGAAATTATAAAATAGCAATTGTTATAGCTAATGTTAGTTCTCACCAAATAGCCTACCTTTTCTTCACATATCTCCGTAAACTGAACGAATGTAGTTGTTGCTTGATAACCACTTATGAACCTATCTGCATCTTCATCTCGCATCCCCGCAGCTAGTTTCAGATTAATTATCGTTTTTAGTTCGTTCACGAGCTCTATTCTATTCACTGTTAGATATGAAGGTAATACAATGATATATATGCTTACATAAGATTATATATATCCAACTTATATATCTCCATGCAGCTTAGTTAACTAAAAATTTATAAATAGCAAATACACTTCATTTTATAATTATTTTCTAGTATTTTTTTTTTCTCTACTCTCATTCCAACACTTTTTATTTTTGTTCATTAAACACTCTTATCCGTTTATGCTTCTGCAAACTTCTTCTTCTTTCATCGTGTTGTCTTACTTATTTTTCGCATTTAATTTTACACGCTATAACGGTAACGCTGCGAAAATGAAAGCTTCAAGCGTACAAGTGCATACTCGTAGCTTCTTACGAACAGCGGTTCAAACGAATGCTCGCCCAACATACATATGCATATACTTACAACACACATACATATACCAACACATAGGCTGAAGTAAAAGCATTTGTGTTTTGAAATGTGTTTTCACTTTTTTTTACTCACTCACTTGGTCTACTTCTAGTTCATTTTTGGCGCTAATTTAGCCACTTCCTCATTCCGTTTCAGCGTTTTCGCCGCATTGATAATGAATAGTGCGCCATTAATGGCTGCAAAAACAACCAAAACACATATAAATGGGCAAAAAATACAAAAAACTGTAAATATTTTACACGGTGTCATATATTTGACTTCGCAATAAATACTTTTATTGCCTTGTCTTCAATCGGCACTTACTCATCGAGTTCGTTGCATGAGTCTTTAGTTTTCACTATCGATATGCTGCGGATTTGAGTGTTTTCCAATAATTAGCTTAATCAAATCAAATGGAATGGAATGATAACATCGAGAGCCGCAGACATTTTAAAGTGTATCACTAGAGATCAAAAGTCCTCACTATTGATGGCATGGTTTTTAGGATAGCTGACTATATTAAAAAAGATAGATTGATGGCAGATTTGTGAAAATATGTATTCTTGTCCGCCATTCAGAGATCATAACGGCCAGTTCATAACCTTTAAAACAGTATTTTGGAAATTTATTCTAGCAGTAAAGAAACAGGAATCGGCCTTCACTATTTTAAGGTTTAATTAAACATATTGTATATCTCAGGGTATAAAACATTTTCATATTAATATATTGATACAAAATGGCGGCTGAAGTTTTTCGTTTCGTTTCGCTTTAGCTGACTGAACTGAACGGTTCAACATTGTAACGTTTTGTATAAGGAAATGTAATTATAATTGTATTTCCCTTTTATATCAATGGACTTGACGTATATTTTCAACCTAAAAACCTATTTATGAGGCCATAAATTAGGGATGAATTAAAGAATATCATATGAAATCCTTTTACACAGGCAGAAAATCGCCATTAATCGAAAATGCCTAACTCTACTTTAGTTTGAAAGCATATCCTTTATAATCTGTGTTGTCTGAGGACCACTGCATAACTCAATCAATCAATGTGGTAAATCTTTTTAAAAAACTGCATCAATATCCATCAAATCTCGTATGTTGTATATATTTTATGATTCTCAAGCAACAGCTTGAGATCCACTAAAAGTTGTTACCAACTTACCTTAGATAGAGGGATAGTATATTATTCCTAAGCTATTCCTTTTAATAGTTAATGGTAATTTAAATAATGCAATGGGTTTAGGCCCTCAAACTAAGCCCGGGTTCATCGAAATCTTTATATCTTTATAAAAATGTATAAGTGAAACAGCATTCAATAGCAGCTACTGCTGGTTCTAATAGGTCTCAGGTCGCCAGGCTAAAACCTATACCTGTATATAAAAGATCAGCGTGATGAGCTGAGTCGATTGGCTAAGAGTAAGAAGAAAGTTTGTAGTAATTGCTACGAGTTCCTGTTTCTAAGCATCTTCTCCATTTCATGTTTCTCCGGAAGCATTATTATGTAGTTACTAATCACCAGCATTTTTCAACAACTTCCACAGAATA